TGGTGGCACATGCCTATAATCCCAGCGGTTTGGGAGGCTGAGGCAGGAGGAGTGAGAGTTCAAAGCCAGCCCCAGCAATTTAGCAAGAACCTCAAGCAACTCAGCAAGACCCTGTATCTAGATAAAATATTTTTAAAAGGATGGGGGGGATATGGATCAGTGGTTAAGAGCCCCTGGGTTCAATCCCTGGTACCAAAAAAAGAACAACAACAAAAAAAAAAAAAAAAAAAAAACATGAGAGTACTTACTATCACCAGAACACATAGAATGAAGTGAAATTTAATGCTAATCTCAGGTTAAATTCACAGACTTCCTCTGTAAAAGACACAGTGTCTTTGTTCAACCTCAATTCTGGATTATTTTGTCGGATGTTAAATAACACATATTACATTCATCACTGAGAAGTGACTCAAGTCAGCCAGGAAAAAACAATATCAAAATATTAAATCATACACCCCCCAAATGAGTTATATAAAAGCAGGGCTGAATTTCAAATCTGAACACATGGTGTCATCTTTTTATAAAGGTATGTGGAGGCTGAAAGTCAAGTAAACTAGAAGGTTAAAAATGAAATCTTGATGTTTCTTCCCGAAAAATCAGCTTCCACTCCATGAAGGTTGAATTGCTTCCAAAGAACAGATCCTTTTAATCCAGAACTAATTAGTGCCACTAGCCCAAGTTTCCCTTTTGTTTACAGAGAACCCTCTGCTTTGACTACACTTCTGACTGCAGACCTGATAGAATGGCCAGTGGTGGGGCATTACCCGCTCCCCAGTAAGGGACATGAAAATAAAGACCCTCGGAGCTTCAGATCTTGATTTTATGAAAAGATTATTGTGCTTGCTTAAAGATAATCCATTTCTTACTTTAAAGGTTAATGAAGGAAGTGGAATAGAAATATGTGAAGATCATGCCTCCCAGAGCGAGAGGCAAAAAAAAAAAAAAAAGGTTGAAATGAGAAAAATATCTTCATTTATTTCTGTCTCTGACCTTATGTGAAGGAAAGAAGTGTGCTTGCTGGTGTGTGCATTGGAGGGTGGTGGGGTGCCTGGGATTATATATAACATGGCGAACTGTGAAAAGTTAGCTTACTATTCCTTTTGATTTACTGGGGTTTTTTTAGAATTTTTTTTTTTTTTTTTAGTTATAGATGAACACAATACCTTTATTTTCTTTATTTATTTTTATGTGATGCTGAGGATCGGATCCATTGCCTCATACATGCAAGGCAAGTACTCTACCACGGAGCCACGCCCCAGCCCATTGATTTACTATTTGATATAGGAAGTTCCCTTGATTTTTCCATGGAAATAGATGGTGTTCTAATATTTAGACTTCATTAGAATGAAGTCTAGGAGTTGAAACCATGATTAATCTCTTGTGGTATGTAGTGGTCCTGAGTTGACCCCCCCGCAAGTGAGAAGCATCGTTGGTAAAATGTTTCTCCCTGGATCTGCCATACTTGCAGAGGATGGTAAAAACTTTATGTGTAGGTTAAAGAATTAAAAAAAAAAAAAAGTCACCTGTGAAAGGAGTAGAATGTGAGTTCTTTGGAAGTACAGCATGTCCTTTGCTGACAGTGCCTCCCTCTGCTCACCCAGAGAACTGCTGTTCCCACTCAGGTAAACCATGCCCCTGCTTCTCAGTGTAGGGTAGCAATTTACATAAGAACCTTTTAAAAACATTGATTTGCTTTACTTGTTTTGGACTTTATGTAAAAATTTTTAAAGGTGCTATGTGTTTGGGGCTGTGACATTTTTACTCAGCATTGTGTTTTTTGCAGTTCAGTCTCTGGTTAATGAGTATGACTGTACTTCATTTTTACTGCTGTTAGCACTCTATTCAGTGAATAGACAATTTTTCCATTCTGTTAGTGGAAATTTAAATATTTTCCAGTTTTCTTGGGTTGTCTTTTTTTTTTTAAACTATGTTATGGTTAACCATTTGTTGTTCATGTCTCCTAGAAAACATTAGGAGTCCTTCTGGGCATGATAACACATACCTATAATCCTAGTGATTTAGGAGGCTGAGGCAGAAAGATCAAAAGTTCAAGGCCAACCTCAGCAATTTAGCAAGATCCTATGCAACTTAACAAGAACTTGTCTCAAAATAAAATATAAAAAGGGATGGAATATGGCTTAGTGGTTAAGCACCCCTGGGCTCAATATCTACCCCCCACAAAAAAAAATTTTATTAAGAGTCTTCCCATATACCTGAGATTGGAACACTCACTCTATGCACATGTTCAGATCTATCAGTTAATGCAAAGAAATAGTTTCCAGAGTAGTTGTAACAGATGACATGCCCACCAGCAGAGCAGAGTGTTCTATTGCTCTGAATCCTCTGCAACTTTGTATCATCAGATTTCTGCATTGTAGCCATCATGTGTTAGGGTATTGGTGTCATTTACTTTGGATCTTCCTTATTACTATTGAGATTGAGTAGCTATTCATTAATTTCCATAAACTTGGTATGTCTTTCTGTTTATTTGGGTAGATTTTTGTATTTTGGGTTTTTTGTACTGGGGGTTGAACTCGGGCACTTTACCACTGAGCTACATCCTCAGCCCTTTTTATTTTTTATTTTGAGAAAGAGTTTTGCTAAGGCTGACTTCAAACATGGATCCTTTTGCCTTAGGCCTCTGGAGTAGCTGGGATTATGGGCAGGTGCCAGCATGTCTGACTCACTTATTTGGATTTTTAAAAATTATTATTTTGTGTTTTTGTGGTGCTGGGGATCAAATCCAGGGCTATTATGCATGTCGGGCAAGTAGCTCTACTGCTGAGCTATAGCCTCAGGCCTCTCTGCAAAAAGGGTCTCACTGAGTTGCTTAGCTCCTTGCTTTTGCTCAGGCTGCCTTTGAACTTGTGATACTCCTGTCTCAGCCTCAGGAGCTGATGAGATTACAGGCATGCACTAGACTAAAATCTGCATTCTTATATGTTTATTTTGTTTCATTATTCCTGGTCTTAATTATTATGATCACTTTTCTTCTAATTCTATGAATTTATTTCACCTCTTTTTCTAATTTCTTAAAATAGTAGGTCATGAAATTTCGATCTTTCTTCTTTTTAAAACACTTAAGGTTAAAATTTTCCTATAATACTTTTGCATTTCCACACATTTTAATGTATAATAATTTTAAATTATTTAGTTCCAAATATTTTGTAACTTTATGCCTATAATCCCAGTGGCTCAATCCCCGGTACCCCAAAAGATAAAGAAAGAAAGAAAAAATGGGGCTGGGGTTGTGGCTCAGTAGTAAAGCACTCACCTAGCACATGCAAGGCATTAGGTTTGATTCTCAGCACCACATAAAAATAAATTAATAAAATAAAGGTATTATGTCTACCTATAATTTTAAAGAAATTTTTTAAAAAGAAAAGAAAAAATAAATTCTTGTGCTGTGAGTTTTGTATATTTCTAATTTTCCAAAAACATAGGGATTTTCTGGTTATCTTTGCATTACTGGTTTCTAGTGTGATTACATGGTAGTCAGAAAACATTTTATGTATGATAGCAATTATTTGAAATTCTTGAGACATGAGCATTTTGGTCCCACATATTTCCAATTTTTATAATGCCCCCAGGGTGTCCTAAAACAAGCAACACTAGATTTTGAAGCTCCGAGGTTCATGTGTTTATTATATCATTCTTGTCCATCGTGTGCTTCACACCTTCTAAATCCTTTTTTTTTAAATGCTTAGTTTATCAGCTATTTTTAGAAATGTGTTAAGAATCTCACAAATTTGAGGGGCTGAGGTGTGGCTCTGCGGTAGAGCACTCACCTAGCACGTGCGAGGAGCTGGGTTTGATCCTCAGCACCACCTAAAAATAAAAACACATAAAAAGGTATTATGTCCAACTACAACTAAAAAAATTTTTTAAAAAAAAAGATCCGCACAATTTTTGAGATTTACTATATTTTCCCATAAATATTTCTTATTTTTTAGTCTATTTTGTTAGGTACAAATGAGTTTAAACTTGTTATATCCATTTTAATATAAAAAATAGAATCTTTAAGGAGGCCCATGTTTGATCTACTAGTTATTTCTGGTGTATTAATTCTGATTTTTAGATTTTGTAAAATACTGTATAAGGCACACTGGAAACAAAAAATGATTTTACTATCATATTTGGCAATTCGGGGTTGAAAAATACATCACTTGACCTTATTAACTCGTTTCTGATATACTAGCCAAAGAAATAACCAGAAGTAGGTAAAACGCTTTATGTACCGAAATATGTATTATCTGTGGTAAAATAAATAAGTGAAAGCAAACAGATTCTAACAATAGGAGAGTGGTTAAGTAACTATGAGCTGGCACATAATTTAAAATAATTTATCATGAATTTGTAATAACACTGGAAAGTTATGTTACAATAATATGTAAATAACAAGGCTGTACTTTGATCTCAGTTACTTTAATGACAACTATAGAAAAAATTCTAAAAGGAAATATCTCAAGCATTGGTTGGTACCCCATGAATATGTATAATTTTTATTTTTATGTATCAGTTAAAAATAAAAAAAAATAGTAACATTAATTGGTAAAATTTCGGTTTCCTCTTTCCTTCTACTTTTTTTTTGTGTTTTTCGTATTTTCTACAATACTCAAATTTCCTTTACAATTAGATAGGGAAAAGTAACTTAAAAATATGGATGAATAAATATGTTTCCAACTAATGTTTGAATGTGCCTATTGAGTCTTTCTTATGCTGTACTTAGCTGATATTTTTGAAACATCAAGACAGAAAAGTTATTTACATTGTGAGAAACAGTGATATACAAAAGTGCAAATCAGTGTTTAAAATATGCTTCTTGGGGCTGAGGTTGTGGCTCAAGGGTACAGAGCTTGCCTAGCATGTATGAGGCACTGGGTTTGCTCCTCGGTACTATATAAAGATAAAATATAGGTATTATGTCCACCTACAACTAAAATATATACATTTAAAAAAATAAATAAAATACCTGTTTTATTGTGCTTTGTGTCTTGTAGGTAAAGTGCTGCTGGAGGAAAACCAGGGCATTGCTCCTGTAGTTTCCAGTCACGTGAGCCCAGGGGTGAAACCAGCAGTGGTTGGGCCCTTCAGCTCACACATGATGGAATTTCCAAGAAAACGCAAAGGAAGCGATTCGGACCCCTCCCAGTAAGTGGATTTTTGCTCTAACCCCATGAAATCTTTGACTCTAGGGAAAAGAGTCAAAGATTGCTATTTAAATTACTATTTCTAGATACTGTATTTCACTGCATAATTGTCACCACTGCGTTAATATATATATATATATATATATATATTTAGTCATAAGTATTTCATGCATCCTAATCTTGCAATAAGGACAGTTTAGTAATAAATGATTGTTAAGTAATACGGGCACCATTTTTTAAAACATTTTATGGTAGATGAACAGCATGCCTCTATTTTATTTGTTCACTTTTATGTGGTGCTGAGGATCGAACCCAGTGCCTCATATGTGCAAAGCAAGCACTCTGCCACAGAGCTATAGCCCCAGCCCGGGCACCATATTTTTAAAGTTTCACATAATGATTGCTCCCTCGTTTTTTGAAAAAAAAAAAGTTGGCATAAAAACTGGGAAGATTATGTCAAGAAATAAAATACATGGCAACATGATTATCCACCCAACTACTACGTGACATTGAGTGAAATGGAACTTCTCCATCAACTCTGATGATTATTAGATACGTAGGAGGATCAACAGAGCCTAAAAGATATGTAGGTACATGAGGTGAATTTGCTTAATGTTTATGGTCGCAGCTAGATACTAGCCTTCTTTATTGAAATACTAACCATGAGGAGAACATCTTCTTACATATTTGGCTTAAAATAATAAATACCATTTACTACCTTACTCATCATTTACATTATAACCAATGAATCCTTGGTTATCTGTGGTCAATTTAATCAGATAAAACTCTTGTTTCCATATTAGTTAAGTCATGTGGATAGGAAGGTGAATGCTGAGAATACTTACTGTGTCCTTGTTTATTTTTGTCATCTACTAGGGCTTATAGCCTGAAATAAATAAATAAATAAACAAATAAATAAATATATATATATATATATATATATATACACACACATATTTAGTTCTCGGCAGACACAACATCTTTTTTTTTTTTTAAAGAGAGAATGAGAGAGGAGAGAGAGAGAATTTTTAATATTTATTTTTTAGTTCTCGGCAGACACAACGTCTTTGTTGGTATGTGGTGCTGAGGATCGAACCCGGGCCGCACGCGTGCCAGGCGAGCGCGCTACCGCTTGAGCCACATCCCCAGCCCCAGCCACATCCCCAGCCCCCTGAAATATTCTCTAGTGACTTCTCTAAAGCTACATCTATGTGATGGAAACATTAGAACAAAATAAAAGTAGCAATTCATCTTAGATTAAAGCACAATAAAGTTTGCAACTCATCCTAGGCTAGCACTTACGTTGGTGTGAAAGTTGATGATAGGTCCCCACCGTAAGTGAAGGGGACAATTTCTGAGTTGGGACAAAGATGAGGACATAATGCAGCATCCCAGCTTTTTTTGATGTAGTTCTTCCCATTATGCTTCATAATTTAGCTGTGATTCTCAAGACAGAAGAATGAGTATGATTCAAATATAAGGACCAAGGCACCTCCCAAGCCATGTATAAACGATTGGAAGATCTTCTACTGATTTTGGTTGTCTGTTCTCTTAGCCTCTTCCATTAAGGCGATGCTCAGGAAGCGGCAGTGGACCAAGTGACAGTTTGTCTAAAGCTGCTGGCTGTTTTTCATTCTCAGTCAGTTGATGGTCCCCACTCATCTGAGCTAAAAGTGACTTAGTCTTTTTTTTTTTTTTATCTCTTCCCTTCATCTTTAGGATCACAAGCACTACTGTTGTTGATCACCTCAGTTGAAGTGGGAACCCTGAGTACCAGAGGTACCAGTGTTTCCTGCCACCTAGGGGCCATGTGGAGGTTTTGGGGGGTACATAGGAAAATAGAATTGGTCCCAGAGGAAAGATCACAAACATGCAAATTACTGCCAGATTGAATTTTTTTTTTTTTTTGGCAGCAGCCAACAGTAAAGATTATTTACTTAACTGCCCACATTTTAGAAAATGAAGAACCTAGGATTCAGAAATGTCAGCACAAGGTGAATTCACTTAATGTTTATGGTCACAGCTAAATATATGTCCTTTTTTTTTTGATGCCAGGGATTGAACTCAGGGGCGCTTAACCACTGAGCCACATCTCCAGTCCTTTTTATTTTTTATTTTGAGACAGGGTCTCACTAGGTTGCTTACAGCCTTGCTAAGTTGCTGAGGCTGACTTTGAACTTGCGATCCTTTTGCCTCAGCCTCCCAAGCCACTGGGATTCCTGGTGGTCCTTGCCTTCTTTATCACAGTACTTAACCATGAGGAGAACATTACACATGGATTAGAAAGTCTGATTCTGAGTGGGGCATTTCTTCACTGTGCCTGGCCTCCTATCTCTCTGCTCCTGGATGGGGTCGGGTGACCTGTAGCAATCATGCTGTTTCCTGGTACATCTGGGTAGGGGGTGACCCAAGGCCTCCTTCCTTCCAGGTCAGAAATCATGACAGAAAAAGTGGTGGAAAAGCTTTCTCAGAACCCCTTTACCTATCTTCTTTCAACAAAGATAGAAATATCAGCACCCAGTGGCAGCAGGTAAGTCCTGGACTATGGTTTGACATATTCCCTCCCTTCCTAAGAGGCTGTGTGGTGACAGTGTAGATGTACGTCTCCCTGATGGGCTCTCTGTCCCACAGCTTCTCTATTCTGCTATAGACCTTCTTTTATCCCACCATTTTCTGTGCCCTCTAAGGAAGTGATGGACTTCAAAGTACTTTACGGATTTTATAAAATGCTGATTATACAGTATCTTTTCCAGAGGCTCGGGAAATGAGTCTCTGGACTTTTTCCAGAGATTTGGGGAAGCCAGTCAGTAGAGATGAGGTTGATTTTATTTATGTAGCCTCAGAGTGTTCAGTTTTTTTGTTTGTTTGTTTCATTTATTTTATTTTATTTTTTAGTTGTGCTGGGATCTAAATCCAGGGCCTCATGCATGCTAGACAAGTGCTGTAACACTGAGTCATAGCCCTAGGCCGAGGGGTGTTTAATATTATTTAGAAAAGAAGAATGTTTGAGAATGATCAGTCTTTCTGTGGCACTGTTGGTTTTGAATGGAGAGCTGAGACTTTTAGAAGGATCTCTGATGAAGATTCTGTGGAATGTAGTCATTAAGTGTTTATTGAGAACCTGCTATGACACCCAGTAGAGAGGGGAGAAAAATGGGTCAGACACAGGGAACTTTGGTAAGCTGGGAAGGTGCTAATCATGCTATTCATCCTAACTGTTGTAATAGGCACCTGGGGTGTGTGGCGACAGAGAAAGCTGTTGTAATAGGCACCTGGGGTGTGTGGCGACAGAGAAAGCTGGCCTTTTAAGGCAGATTGGGATCAGGAGTGAGGACAGCCTCCTGGAGAAGTTTGAGAAGCTGTTTTAAATGAAGAGTAGAAATGAGCCTACAGAGCAGGAGTGGAGAAGGCATTTTAGGTAGAAGGAACAACAGTGCAGAAGTGCAAGGCATGAAGTAGCATCTGGATGAGCAGAAACAGGTGGTTTTCAGAGTGGAGCAGAGGGTGCACACAGATGGGTGAGCGATGAGATTTGGGGGATGAACAGGCATGAGGTCAGGAAGGGCTGCTGAACTCAAGAACCTCAAAGTTACCTTGAAGGCGAAATTCTTAGGAGACTGAAGAGTTCTAAGCATGAGACAAACTGGATCAGATTTACGTTTTGTTTTTTTTTTTTTTTAAATTGCTTGCCTCTGCCCTTCCCAACCCCCACCCTACTTTTTTGTGTATCACAAAATTTTTCATCGGCATGAGTTACAGTCACAGTGTTGTGAACCATCAACCACTGTTCAGTCCCCAAACTTTTTCATCACCTCAAACAGAAACTGAACCAACTAACAGCAAGTCCCTGTCCCTCCCTTCCTCCCAGGTCCAGCTTTCCGGCTTTATAAATTGACCTGTTTTTAGGTATTTCACACACCTGAAATTAAGTGATATCTGTCCTTGGATGTCTGGCTAATTTTACTTAGTGTAATGTCATCAGGGTTTGCCCAGGTTGTCACTTATGTCAGAATTTCATTCTCTATAGAGCTGGATGATAATCCATCGTATGTATGTACTAACACATTTATCCATTCATCTGTTCAGGGACACTGGGTTATTTCCACTTGGGGGCTCTTGTAAACAGTGCTGCTATGGACAAAAGTGCCAGTTTGAGTCCCTGCTTTCTGTTCTTTGGGGTCTACACCTGGGACTGAGGTGTTGGGTCATAGGGTGATTCCATTTGTATACTTGTTTCGTTTTTAAGGAACTGCTAAGCCATTTTCCACAGTGGCTGTATAATTTTGGATCCCCACCAGCAGTGTACAAGTATTCCAATATCTTCACATCCTCATTGATACTTAGTATTTTCATTTTTTTTTATTATAGGCATCCCAGTAGGTGTGAAGTGTACAGACTTACATTCTCAAAGAATCACTCGGGAATAGCATGGAGGTTGGGGTGGAAGGAGGAAAACGAGCAGGCAGAGAAAACAGGTCAAGAAGAAGCTTTTGCTGCGAATTAGGTTTTCTGAACATTAGTCTAAGAGAGTGGCCCTGGAGAAGAAAGACATTGAAGGAAGGGACTGAGGCATATTTGCAAGACTGAATCTCTGAGGCCTTGTGGCTGTTGCTTGGCGAGAGGGAATATGAAAAGTATCCATGCTTTCTGATTTGAGCTCCTGGATGGAAAGTGGGATTTTCATTTACCAAGACGGAGGGGAAAGGAGTTCAGTTCTGAACACACTGAGAATGGAGTATTCATAGAACCTTCAGGTAAGCAGTTAGCCGTGAAGATCTGGAACTCAGGGGTGAGGCTGGACTTGGAGATTAGATTCAGACATCAATATTGTACAAGAAATAATGAAGTGTCAGGCATGGGTCACATCTCTGGGAGAAGTGTGTGGAGTGGAAGAGCAGTGGGCTGAGGATGTACCCCTAAAGACAGTGAAGGGAGGAAAAGAGCATACCCCAAACATGAAGAGGTGTGGTTCTTAGTGCAGGTGGAGTTGCAGGAGCCAAAGAAGCACATTTGAAGAAGAGGGACACAGGAAAAGTGGCAAATCTGGAGCATATTTTGAGATTGCTTCTGACTTCATTTGTTTTGGTAGAATGCCTACATTTTATTCAAAATGCAGTGAAAGTAGTTTTCAAGGAGTCCTTGCAACTGTGTTTTAAAATAATTGCATTACTGTTGTTAAGATGCCAAGAAAATGCATTCAAGTAGTGAGAATGTCATTACTAACAGAAAGCTTATTAAAAGACATTTGTGAAAAATTATGACTGTAGACCCAATGCCAGCATGAAAAAATACACAGATAGCAAACTCACTAATTATCTAGGTTTGTGCTGCAAACAAATGGATCGTTCAGGCTCTTGTCTTTGTCCTGTTCTGCCAGAGACCATTAGATAAAAGTATATTTGGATTTCATGTTTGGAGTATATTTGAATTTTGCTAAGGAGATGAGTTCACTCGGTGGGTTCATTTGCTAAAACCCTGATAATCAAAGCAAAAGCACGATTCTAAAAAGCTGAAGTTTACCTTTTGAAATTGAAGTTCTATATATGTATATTAATTCCAGACCATTAGGAAGAAGATCATTCACCTGTATAATTACTTTCTGTTTTATTCATTTAATAAATGAATAAAAGAAACAGGGAAGGAAGCTGACTTCATCTGACCCTCTCTTTGGCTTCAGAGAAGCTGTTTGACTTTTATGTGTAGCAACCACAGTGCAGACTGACAGCGTTGAGAGAAATGGCAAGTATCCTGGAAGGGACTTCACAGTGAACTTCACTTGGCTGCTTGTAGTTGCAGGGCCTTGTAGCAACTACAGCTTCAGCCTTGATTCCTTCATCTGTAAAATGGGGATAGTGATAACTGCACTGTGTTGTGAGAATCAAGTAACAGGTGAAAATGTGTTTTAAAAACGGTTCTTTATTTAAAAGTGAGTAGGAGAAGTACCACTTGAATAAGCTTCTTAACCGTCTTTTTTTTTTTTTTTCAATACTGGGGATTAAACCTGGGCCTCACACGTGCAAGGCAAGTCTACCTCTGAGCCCCAGGCCCAGCCCTTTAGTGATACTTTTTATTTGGAATATTCATAAGCATCTCTTCTTAAATGTGATTAAATTTCCTATAAAGAGCATTGTAAGAAGAAAAAGATTAAAATTCAAATAAAAGAGTTCAAGTAAATAAAATAGTTCAGAGATAGGCCAGACTTTTTTCAAAGCCTGGAAAATGATCATTGTTAAATCTTTCAAGAGGGGAGGTTGTCTAAGGTGAATCAGAAACATTCAAACAGCTCTCTATAAATTCTACTTCTAGGAATTTATTTTAGGAGAATAATTAAGATGTACTCACCATAATATTATTAGCCATATCATTTATAATGTTGAAAATATTAGAATATTGATTATATCCAACACTAGAAAATGATTAAGTAAATTATGGTATAGCTAATCAGTGGGCCACTATTAATTATTTTGAATCATGTTCCCTAAGAATATTTAAAACTCTAGGAAAATATTCATTTTATAAAGTGAAAAAAGACAAGATTTAAAAAGTTATACACTGTGACCTGAATTTTGCTTATTCTATCTGCAGAATACCCAGAAATATCTGTACAACTTCACCACAGACACACACATAGACTGTGGCTAAGTTAAATAATCAGAGCTGGTTTCATATGTGTCTCTACATGTTTAGGAAATAGATTGGAAGAAGATAAGAAAAGCAAAATAATACATTTGGAAGTGTGTGTGTGTGTGCATATAAATATATTTATTTGTTTTTATTTTTTGTACTAGGGATTGAGCCCAGGGGCACTTAGCCACTGTGCCACATCCCCAGCTCTTTTTTTTTCTCCCAATTTATTTAGAGACAGGGTTTTGCTGAGTTGCTTGGGGCCTCACTAACTTTCTGAGGCTGGCTTTGAACTTGTGGTCCTCCTGCCTCAGCTTCCTGACAGCTTCCTGACTGAGCTGCTGGAATTATAGGCACTATACC